AAAAAAAAAAAAAAGAGGGGAAACCTCAAAGTAGTGGGACGTTGAATCCAGAAGCCAAATGTGAGACACACGCAGGGTTGGCTGCTGCAACACGTCCTGCTGCTTCACTGCCAGGGTAATACAGAGAGGGCAAATCTGCGCCATCCCTGACCTCTGCAGCAAGGGACGGACATCCAGAGGACCGCGCTGACACATCAAGGTGTTTCGGGACATTTACCTCACAAGCTTTGATGTGCTCTTTCTGCCATTCTTCCCGGATCTTCTCTAGCGTGGTAACGTTCTGCTGGTAGCTCCTGTCTGCAAGAGAAATCACATCACCATCTGATTAGCATTAATTAAATAAACTTTTGCTGGAAGGTGAAGCCTGAAATGGCTGGGATGTCAGGGAGAAAGCAGCAGTGATGTGTGAGCTTGGCTATGGGTGGGCACTGCAAGGGGACACAGAGCCACACAGCAAGGCAAAGGGTAGTGCCATGGGAGCAGCCTTGGTGGGGCCATGCAGGCTTCTCCAGGGTGGGTGTCCACCTGCAGCACGTGTTCCAGAGGAGCCATGCCTGACCTGAGCTCGCCCAAGAGCCGTGGCGTTGCTGCACAACACCCTGCCCCAGGGAATGCTCCCCTCGCCCTCCAAATACTGCATCTCCATGCTCACCGGAGTCCTCCAGGGCCGATTTCGTCTGAGCCAGCTTCAGGAACAGCTGCCAAAAATGGGAGAGAAGAGAAACGAAAAGTCGTGAAGAGCTGTGGTGCATCACCGGTGGCACCAAAGCCCCACCAGGGAACATCGCCAGCCCTCCCATCTCACCCCAAAGCCCAGAGCCGTGGGGCAGGCGAGCTGCAAGGAAAGACGCCCCTTTCTCCCCCCGCCCCACAGCCACCCGCCTCTCCGTACCTTCTCCTGCTGCTTCTGCGTCACCAGGTTTGCGTTGCGGTGCACAGCCTGCTCAGCCTCGTCCTTGTCCCTGCAGCGCTGCTCGTAGAGACGCTTGGCCTAGGAGAGCCACCAACGGGGCAGGAGTGCGTCAGCGAGCGACGAGATACCAATACAGCTCACGAGGGAGGAGGGAAGCACAGCCTGCGAGTGGAGGGGCGGGCGCAGGCTGCCAGCAGAGCAGGGGGTGGCGTGCAAGGCCCCAGATGCCCTGCTGCTTGGGCAAAACCAACCTTACAAGACAAGGCGCTCTTCATTTGGGGTGAAAATCTCGTGGCAATCAAGCCCACGGCCTCTAAACCATTCGTATCCAACCCTGCAAGGCTACCCCCAGCTGTGTGTCTGGTGTACTCTAGGTTTTCTGAGCACACCCCTGCGTACCGCTCATGCAGACACGACGTACAGAGTTGCAGCAGAGGAGGAAGACCCTCATATTTAAGTCTGCCGCAGCACTGTGCATGTGCGTGTTAGCAGCATTAACCCATGTGCCAAGAAGCAGCAGCAAGTTTGCTTTACCTCCATGGTCTTCTTGTACTGCAAATTCCTGTTTTTGTGGATCGCCTCCATTATCAGCTCTATCTGTGAAGACAACAGACCCAGAGTCAGCACATCACTGACTGTCAAAGCTCCAGGATGGACTTAGGAAAGGAAGAGGCATGGACCAGGCTAAGATGGATTTAAGGACCTTCGTCCACCCAAAGCATCTTCACAAAATCCATCTTTTGTGCTTCTATCTATGCCTCCACTTAGATATGTGTATGCAAAGGAGTTGTACAAGTGAAATCTGAGAAACAAATAGTACTGTATCATCTCCATAGGGCCTGGCAAAATTGGAAAGCCCAGTCCCCTCTGCTAGGTCCAAACCAGCCCCTGGTTCCAGCAGTTTTCTCTCATTTTCCAGACAGAGGACTCTGAAGCCAGAAGAAGTTAAAAGGCTTGCCAATTTTAGAAGACCCTATGGAGATCATACAGGACTATATAGATGCTTTAAAAACATTCCTGGTTGAGGCTGGTGTCCCTGGAGCTGAGCCCTAGCTATCGCTGGCCCCAGAAGTTGCCCAAAGGAGAAGACGCGGCAGTGAGAAGAAGGAAGTTGGAGGTTGCCGCACAGTTCACCAACACGGTTGCAACACTTAAGAAGAAGCTCGGGACTTCCCGGCAGCGGTAGGTGCCGGGGGCACGGAGGGGGCTGGAGCACGGCGGGAGACACCAGCCGGGAGCAGCAGAGGATCGACACCTTGTGGTGAAGACGCTTGCTCCCACGGTGCCTGACCTTTTTCCGATGCAGTTTTTGCTTTTCCCTGAAGTCCTCCATTTTCTTTGCTTCCTCCCGAAGGGTTTGCGCCAGTTGGATGTGACCTTGCCCCACCTTGTCTACCTCTGCAAAGAAAAAAAATCAAATATCTATATATATATACGTAATCCTAAAAGGACTCTTGCTCAAATCAACTGTTGTAGCTGACGTCAGACTGATCCAAAGACCCCACGTCATACATCCCCTTGCAGAAACACATAAAAGCAGCAGCAGTTTTGAAGCAGCCTCCAAGCAGTGCCTGCCTATGTAAGGAGCTATTCAGGACCCGTCCTGCTGGGCCTGCCCTTCAGTTTAAGAAAACTCATATCCAGAGAAGTTGTTCAAACAAGCACGGTCACATCTCCCCCTCATCCAGACGAATTCAGGCACATTTCAACACATCACACCCTGAAGCAACTGTCTGAAAGGAAGTGTTGTCCCAGGCTAGCAGACAAACAACTTGGGGCACAGAAAAACTGATGCTAAAAAAAGCTTACTGACGTTGGGTGGCCATACTGTGAAACACAACCCCAGCAAGCTCATCAAGGGAGCTAAGCCAAACTGTAGCTCAGGATTCAACCCCCAGAGGTGTTTCAAACCCACAGCTATCAATAGTCAGCTGCTGCAAGGGCAGACCCTCGTTAGGGAGGTCCACCCAGGGACAAGGCAGCAGACAAACCTGGCTAGGGCAGAGGGTGGACTCAGCACAGGATAGCAGAGTGCCAGCTCTCGAGGTATGGATGCTGGGTGCCTGTAGCCCGGTGGGCTGTGACATGTGGCAATGAAAGGACAATGTGAGGTGGCCAAAGCCTTTTAGATGGTCTGATCAGAATCATAGAATCATTTAGGTCAGAAAAGAACCTTAAGATCATCAAGTCCAACCGTTAACCCAGCGCTGCCAAGGCCACCACTAAACCATGTCTCTGAACACCACATCTACACGTCTTGTAAACACCTCCAGGGATGGTGACACCACCGCTTCCCTGGGCAGCCTGTTCCAGTGCTTGACCACCCTGTCAGTGAAGAAATTCTTCTAATGTCCAATCTAAAGCTCTCCTGGCACGACTTCAGGCCATTCCCTCTCGTCCTGTCGCTTGTTCCTTGGGAGAACAGACCGACCCCACCTCACCACAGCCTCCTTTCAGGCAGCTGCAGAGAGCGATCAGGTCTCCCCTCAGCCTCCTCTTCTCCAGGCTGAACACCCCCAGATCCCTCAGGTGCTCCTCACCAGACCTGTTCTTCAGACCCTTCACCAGCTTCGCTGCCCTTCTCTGGACACGCTCCAGCACCTCAATGTCCTTCTTGCAGGGAGGGGCCCAAAACTGCCCCCAGCATTTGAGGTGCAAATTACTGCACCGGGAATGTATGTGAAGAAGGCAAGGCGTGCCAGTCCAACAAACTCCAGTTGAGCTTCCTATGCCAAGCTTCTGATTTACAACACAAGCACGACTTCTGAGCTGCAGCCAGCCCCAAAAGCCCGAGAGATCCCCAAAGGGATGCCCCGTGGGTCTCCTCTCCCACCCGTGCCCTGGAGCGCTCTGTCCCAAACCCTGCACACTGAACCTAGCTGGGCGAGCAGGACAGCCTGTGTCTGACCCCAGCATCGCACTGTTTTGGAGGTTTCTCTGCTATTTTCTTCCCAAGCAGTTGCCTGCAGGCTTTGGTGCTGCCAAGTGTCCTGACAAACACGAAGAAGAAGAATTACTCACGTTGCTTGAAAACATCCAGGGATCTTTTCAGCGTGCTGAAAAACAGGCAGAGCATTAAAAAGAGTGGGAAAGCATGGCCAGGAACAGGCATCAGCAGAGCACCTCTCCCAAACCGGATAGCAAATCCCTCACTTGACGCTGGCCAAAGAAGCTCAACGCAGGTTTATTTACCCTCTTTACACCTCTGGCTTTTTCCCTCTTGGTGAGTATAACACAGCTCACTTGGTTTGAGATCAGCTTTACATCTTTCTGAACAATGGATGCTATTAAAAATCCTGACTTTCACAACAAATGTTTCAGGAAACCTCCTAAAAGTGTCATTTGGGACATACGAACACCTTCTACATGGTGGATTGGCCAGCGGTTGGACACGTAGGATACTTTTCTCCCTATTAATATTGTACAATAATGATTTCAGAAACATTTTATGCGACGCCTCAGTATGAAACTGTAAATAAATTATCAGAGAATATCAGACTGGGCGTGTATAGGGTATAGAAGCAGGAAGCAGAAGGTGCCAATGGTCACTAGGAAAATGGAGACCCACTCATGGAGCCAACCGCATCAGCCATAGCTGTAACATGCTGGGCCTTGAAGACTTGCATGGTTTGAATAAAAGAAGTACCTGTACTTCCCTCTGGCCGCAAAAACAGTCAGGAGAGAACCCAAGGTCTCAAGATCCTTGGCCCTCTGAAACAGCCCACATAGCGCCTGAGCATCTATGATGCTTTGGTTAGTCTACAGCTGGTGGGAACTTGGTGGAGTCCAACTCGTTTATCAGCAAAGGCCAACCCAACTGTGCACCATTCATTCACAAGTCCGATTTCAGATCATCTTCTGGTAGAGTCCCAGTCACATTTTAACACTGCTTTGTCTCTCACAGCCTCCTACCTTCTCCTCTTCCTTTGTTGCTTCAGGTAAGGACACCCATAAAAGCAAAACACGCACACAAGACTGTGAACTTACTTCAGCTCTGTCTGCCCACAGGGCTTCTTCTTTGACAAGTTGATGAGTTCTTTGCCATATTTTTCTTCTATGATTGCCCTGTTGAGGAAAGAGAGACATGGGAGGAAGTTCTCATTTCAGAAACTGATACTTGCTTGCAGCAGAGGCCAAGACACGCTCTTAACGCCCTCACTGTCTTCTGGCCTGCTGCAAACCAACTGTGGACAGGTGGCTGAAGGAAGACTTCTTGTTTGCAGTTACCTAAAAGCCTTTCTAGTGAAAACACTTTGTTTTGCCCTGTCTGTGGTCCTGAGGCATTGCTTTCCCCACAGGCAATGAGTGCAAGGACCACTTCCACAGGAGATGGAGGACTTTAAGATATCATATTGTCCTCCCCTCTTGGAAGAAAGAGTGGAGAGAAGAAAGCCAATGTGTTGCGGTCTAAGAACAACCAGCTTGCTGCAGTTGCTTTGAAATCTGTGTGGACAACCAGGGCTGGACTTGCTTGGTCAAATGTAGATATCTCCATTTGGGCAAGCCACCCAAGCTGTCTGCAGTCCGTGGAGAGAAACAAGTACTGCTGCAGGCTTGCATTAGAAAGTCTACTGGATAAAATGAATAGCTTCCTAAAATGCCTGTATCTCTAACGCAGGTGCCTGTGTTGCTGGTTTCTAGAGTTTGGCAGTGGCGTTCACCTAACTTAACTCCTTAAAAAACTTCAAAAGCTTGTAGGGAAATGGAAAAAAAAAAAGATTATACACTGATTTTTTTTTTTTCCTCTATCTAAGAATATTCCCATGAACTTCCTTTTGAGACAAAGCATTGAATCCAACAAGCATGATCTCCGTGGCTGGAACCATGTAACAGCCGTGCTCTACATGGAGAACTGTGCCATGTTGAGAGAGGGGTGCCAGCAGCAAGTCCAGGTCCAGCCTCTAATCTCCTCCTGGCTAGACACGTCGGTGGGAACCTACATCTCCTTCAACAGCAGAGAGGAACGGGGCACAGGGTGTGGAGGAGGCTTTTTGCACTCTCTCCGTTGCCCCGTGCCTCATCCCATGGATGACTGGGACACGGATCGCAGGGTTCAGCAAATGGCTCCTCGGCCAGCTGGAAAGCCCAATTTTTCCTGGAACAGGGGATTACAGCCTTGGCTAGGCTGTAGGTGCATTAGACACTTTTATCCACAGGTTGTCCTCCTCTTCATCCTCACTACATATGTTTCCAGGCTGTTTTGTGCCAAGTCTTATATTCAGAGGTTTGTTTTCTCCAGTTCTCAATACCAAAATTACGTTAATTCAAGGTTGTCCTACAACGCACTCCATATTTAGCCATTGTTAACCAGGCGAACCATAAAGTCAGAATACATGGCCAGGCCTTCCCAGTTGTGCCTTTGTAGCCATGGAACCTCTACTTTGGTCATATCCTCTGGTTAATAAATGCGTTATCTAATGCTACTCCTTCTTTTTAACATAAAATCTGTGGGCTGTGCATAATGTACAAAGACAAATGCAGGACAAAGCTGTGCCTCTCCTATGACAAGGTCTTCACCTGATCTTCTGCAAGCTGAACTGCAAGGTGAACTTCACAGGAGAGCATGTGGCCTGGGCAGGCCACCAACGGCTGCAAACGCATCAGTACAGAAGTCTGGCAACATGTAAGACTGAATTATTAAACTGCTCCTGATCCCTCTTTCTTTTTAACAGACACTTCAAGATGTGAGCATCAAGCTCTGGGCACCATCGCTGCCTCGCAGCTGAGGATCCCTGGGCACGGACTCCATAGCACAGCGCCAGCCGTGCGAGGAAAGAGCAATGTAAGAAAACACGTTCCTCATCAGTCAAAAATCAAAAGTTTTTTAACACAGCGGACACAAACCAAACTGGGAATGCAAGGAGTAGAACTAGTGCCACTGCCTCACTTCCCAGGTTCAACCTAACCCGTTTTCAAAGGCAGCTCCGTACCTTTCCTTCAAAAAGTCTTCAAACTCTTTGCAGTTCTTCCTGCCGTCATTCAGATGTTGAATGATGCTGTCGTAGCCAACTGTGCTCGTCAGATCCGTACTCTGAAAACACAAGAACAGGGTCACATCCTCATCAGCTCAGGCCACGGCCACGGCCACCTCCAGCGGCATTTATGCAAGCAATGGTTCAGTGGGAGCAAGTGTGCAAGTGCCTCTTTATGAAACAAGATTTTTTTCTTTTAGGGGTGGGAGAGGCTCCAGAATGAGACCAACGGTAGCAATTCGGGACAAGGCACTCCTGTGACTTTCAGAAATCTGAAGAGCTCAGTCCTACCACATCCTATTGCTCCCCCGCAGCCTAAGCACAGCTGGCCCCACGGCACATGGCATCTCCTCCTAGGGGCTTAGCTGGCAGCTCTAACTGAATGAAATCAAACACTAAAAACCCTCCAAATCTCTAGATATAGTGTGCCTTACTACTGTTCTTCCCAGTTTCTGCAGACACAGAGATGGATCTCGGATAGCGTTGACTTGCACTGTTCTGGGCATCACCCTGACGTCTGGCTGTAGGAGCCTGTGTCTGGGCTGGAGGTGAATTTATCAGACGCTTCCGCACGGGATCGCTGAGCTACGGGTTTGTCTCACTGCCCTGGCAGTAATGTATGGATGCACCCAATGACCGCTGCTGCAACAGCCTTCACTTTGGCCTTGCAAAAAGCGACACTGTCCCACACATCAATTCAAAACACCACTGCAAAGATCATTTCCCTAAGTACCAGGTCCTCCCCCACCACTGCTGTACGCCCTCCAACACACCACACAGGGCTAGCTTCTTCACTCCCCACCGAACATCACAGACATGGAGAGGTCCTGCTTCTACCACCCGTGGAGTCAAGTCCCGTCTTCCAAGCCAGTGCTCTCAGCCCTGCAGCACCACTCACACTTCAGACTTCTGAAGGATCAGTGCTTTCCTTCAAATTACTTCTTAAAAATGGTATTGTACTGATTCTTATCAAAAAAAAGAAAAAAAAGGAAGATACATGCACCAATGATGTTGGTGGGCTGGATGAAGGCTGACTAACTACCCAATTCTTTCCTCATACCCATACCTTGAAGCATCTTAGGACTAAAAATTTATTCTTGCCCTATGACTGCTGAGAATTTACCACCCTGGAGACCTGGGCCAAGAGCAGGGCTCCTAAGTGCTATGATAAGACAAAGAGGAATTCTTTGACCATGAGCTCTCCTTCTCTAGAAGAAGCCCAAAGTAGATGCAGGGAGCTGAGCAGAAGGTGCAACCTGTCGTCTTCTGCAAAGAGGGCCAGTTGGTGTTGCGTAAAACAGCACGTATGGGAGCAAAAAAACAAGAAATTAAGAGTCTCAATGTGAACAAATGGTAGAAGCAGATATGAAACTCAGGAAAAGGAAGCAAAAGCCACAAACGGTTATCAAGAAGCTTGAAGAAGAATAATGGCAGGACAAAGAGGTTCAGGAAATTCAAAGCCAGGATGAGAGTATGCAGAGAACTGGCATGAAAAGTGTGGGCAGCAGAAGGGGGGATTTCTCAGGAGTTTGTACCTGGTGCAAGAAATGAGGAGGAACAGGGCCGGTATTTGTGATAAATGAAGGATTTAATTGTGTGGACTTCCCTAAGGAGTCAAGGACATGAATGTCAGCGGCCAGAAAGCCAGAAGTGAAGCAGAGATCTGGTAGAGTGGGACCTGAAGGAAACAACCAGGTATGCCAGACCAGCTTTGCTCCATCCGTAGCATGCATGAGAAGAGAGGACTGTGGAGCAGGACCTAAGCAGAAACCAAAGTAGTTTCTGTTTCTTTACAAAGCACAAAGGTCCCGCTAAAATGCCGTTGTCGGTGGTAAACCCATAACCAGCTCTTGGTTTGCGTCGCGTCTTTGCTAATCGGGTCTGTGAAAAAGGAAACGCGCTTGCACTGAAGTCGGTCTTCACGAGAGTTGCAAAACCCAAGAACATCCTAACTTGACTTCCTATCCTCGGTTTCAAAGGAAATAAAATGGATGTAGAGAACGACTGTCAGTCACTGCAAGCCCGAGCAGGACGGAGCGGTCAGACCCGCATCGCTGCATGTCAGGGGGCACCCGAAGGCTCCTGCGTCCTACTCGGCTGCCTGGGACACTTGGGCTCGCTGCACTGGGCAGAAATCCCGGGAGAAATATTGGGAGCATCCACCAAAAATGTGCACTAAGCTCTTTGTTTCATAACTCTCCATCCTCCAGTAGAAGGGTTTAAATCCAGCACGTGTGTAATTTCCTGAGGCACGTACATATTCCCAAGGCAGGACCAGACCTCACAGTGCAAGGTGTTATATGAAACAGGGGTGATAACAGAGACCGTGGAGGTTTCCAAAAGAGCTTCTTCCGAGCAGGAGGAGCTCCTGGCCCGGAAGGCAGGGTTGTATGCCATGAAACCAGCCTTCACAAGAGCCTTTTGGCATGGAAAGAAGAAAAAGGACCAGCGTGACTGCCTGTGGGATGTCCCAGAGGCAGGGCTGGCAGGGAGCAATGAAAGAGGAAGGGCAACAGAGCAAGCACAGAACGATGGGTGCAGAGGACAAGATTTAAAGACATAATAAACTAAAGACAGCTATGGAGGATGGGGAGTTGCACCAAGCCCTCCCCGACGAGAGGGATGCGGGAGGACGAGCATCCTCCAAGCCTGCAGCACGCAGTTGTCCTGGTCCTCCCCACTGGGCAGAGCTCTGAGCCCCCATGTTATTTAGAGGACAAGCCCATGGAAACCACAAACAGATGATTTCAAGGTGACAAAGCAGCAGCTGATGTTTCCCAAGCCTGAGGGACTCAGCACGACGTGCCCCACCTTCCTGATCTGCTGCCTGGGTTTGCGTCATCCTCCCGATGGACTCGACGAGGAAAAGGAATTTCTGTGCTTGTTGTGATGATTTGGGACGTTTCTTTTTTAACTTTTAGCCCAAAGAGGGGCTAAAATGCTCTAGTGGGGATCTGAAGTCACGTTATGACCCTGTGTGAGTCACGGCTAAAAGGCAAGCTGCTGAGTTTGACAGTTCCATCTTGTACCCCACTTTACATGGAAAACCGCCTCCAGACACACACCCTAAGAAGTCATAGGAGAATCATAGAATCGTTTAGGTTGGAAAAGACCTTTAAGATCATTGAGCCCATCTGTTAACCCAGCATTGCCAAGTCCACCACTAAACTGTGTCGCTAAACACCACATCTACACGTCCTTTAAACACCTTGAGGGATGGTGACACCGCCACCTCCCTGCGCAGCCTGTTCCAGGGCTTGACAACCTTCTCGGTGAAGAAAATTTTCCTAATGTCCAATCTAAATCTTCCCTGGCACGACTTGAGGCCTTTTCCACTTGTCCTATCACTTGTTCCTTGGGAGAACAGACTGACCCCACCTCACCACAGCCTCCTCTCAGGCAGTTGCAGAGAGCGATCAGGTCTCCCCTCAGCCTCCTCTTCTCCAGGCTGAACACCCCCAGGTCCCTCAGCCGCTCCTCACCAGACCTGTTCTCCAGACCCTTCACCAGCT